TACTGGAAGACTTAAATTTGTCTTCCCTTATCGAGAAATTTTGCAAGTTTGCACAGTGAACAGTAAAACCTTGTTAACAAGAATTTGCATAATTAAGATGAACACTTGGTTAACATTAATAAAATTTCCATCGCAGAAAGGATGTACATTTGTTAATTACATGTCTCCAGTTTGCACAAGAATATTTTAGCATGCACTCTTTATTTTTCTGCCCCTGGGAATTTGAATGAATGAGGTTTTACTTTGTTTCAGTTTTCCCTTCTTAACATGGACAAATAATGTCTGCTGCCTCTTTCTAATGTTTGTGGAACCACGACCGGCTCCAGCTGACAGGCCTTGCTGCTGACGTCACTGGGTCGGGCTACCGATGTGTTAACGCAGCGGTTCTCAAACATGAAATAAAATATTTTTGACAGTGGCGAGGAAAGACAACTTAAATTTTAACTTTTAAGAATCTGCATGCCTTCTTTAATAGTTTCAAAATTTTTAGCCGACTGTTCCTGATTATTGCCGCGGCACCCCTGTCATACGCTTACGGCACCCCAGGGTGTCTCAACACTTAGTTTGAGAACTGCTGCGTTAAAGCATTGTTAGCCCAACCCGGTGACGTCAGCTGGAGCCGGTCGTGGTGGAACAGTGTCTTTATGTGGAGAAATATCTGTCTTAAACTCAATTTGCATGCTACAGGAGCGAAGTCGCGACTTTGAGGGGACACAGTGTTGGAATCATCAGCGTGTCTTTCTCTCCCCGCATGCGGGAAATCATCGTGGTGGGGGATGCTCAGGATATGATGATCAGTGTTTGGTCATGGCCCAGCAAAATTATGAAGACGCTGAACAAGTTTGCTGGTAACTGTCGTGGATGACATCATCATCATCATTGTTGTCATTGGCATTGGTGGCATCAGCAGCATCACCAGCATCATCAGCATGTTTTTGTTATTGTTTGTGTTCTTGTCAATTATCACTACCATCATCCTCATCAGTCATTGTCAGTATCATCAGCACCATCATTATTATCTTCCAGCACCATCATTATCTTCTTCTTCGTCTTCTTCTTAGCATTCACTGACTGAAAACTCCAATAGAATGTTCTTATCCACTCCTGGACTTTGGTCTTGATCTGGACATTGGTCTTGATCCAGAACTTGAGTTTTGCATGCACATCTGTTTTACAGATATGGTTTATTTGTATGCAGACCATTGGTTAGTTACCTCTCAGGCAGATGTACTCTGACTTTAAAGGTAACACCCTTAATTAGTTGCCTCTTATGACATGCTTGTGGGTAGGGGGGGGGGGGGTAGTAGGTGTATTTTTTGTTCTCCAAAATGAAGCCCTGGAACATACACGGGGAATCATTATAATCACCACCACCATCGTTATCATCTAACCACCACCATCATCATCATCATATTATTATTATTATTATCAGTGTCTTAAACAGCATCTTTATTGTTATTGTTGTTTGTGTTTTCATTACTCACTACCACCAGTGCAATAAGCTGCTTCTATGAGCGCTAACTCATTGTCTAGAAGATGATATGTGTAGTGAATGCTCTTAGCCACTATTCCACATTGACATAACTGGGACAAGCCGACACCGACTTAGCCGTACGAAACATCAGTTTATTGACATCTTAAAACTTACATCATCGTCCAGTCGTTGTCCTAAGAAACAGCTTTCACACACCACATCACGCAGACTTCAACATACAGGTTCCTCACGCAGTCATTGACCAGAGTTTGCACAGATGTGTCTGGTTCATCTCCTTGACATTATACAGACTGGGCTGGCTGGTCTTGGCTTCAAATGTCGTCTGGTTTTCCCTTTCGCATCAAGCAATCTCACGTTGACATTCTTACAATCAGTCTCCCGTCCTTTCGCTCCGACAGTTCAACACATACTAACCTGACCAGACCAGGGTCTGAACTTATACTATGGGTTAGTTTCACGTGGCAACACGTGGTGGTCCTTTACTTCCACATGGTGACCTGTGTATTTTGGTTAACCTTGGGCTTTCCCCCCAACCTTCCTAATCTGGGTGGAAATATCCCTCATTACAACCAGGATTATTATCATTGTCTTCAGCAGCATTTCTTTATTGTTGTTCATGTTTGCACTAGCCATAAACTGCCATTAGTGCCTGCATGTTTCACTTTTGCAGTGTATACTGGGGGGGGGGGGGGGGGGGGAGTTCTTTGAGCCTGAGGATTTAGGGTAGGGATGCCTGGCAACAGTCAGCACCACCATCATTATCATAAGAGTCTTTAACAGCATCATCATAGCCAGTTATAATCATCATTCATTATTTATCATCAACAGTGCTACCATCACCAGTGAATACAAAGATAATGGACCCCTTTTACTCCAGTGGCGCATCGAGGGCATATGATGCTTGACTAATGTTTTTTGTAGACCAACTGGCAGTCCATGGGTGACGTAGTTGACGTCATGCCAGCCGCCTTTATTTTCCCTAGACATATTATTCTTAGGATCCTTGCTGATAAGGAAAAAATTTCCTGTCTGCCGCTGCTGGGATTCCTTCTTCTTTTCCTTCATGTTCACCGTCTGTAACCTTGGCCGAAAGTTCTGGTTGCTCGTCTACTTCTGGACTTAAATTCTGTTCTAGAATTTGAGTTCTACATGCATTTCCATTTTACAGATCTGGCTTATTTCTTAGCAGACTGTTGGTTCCTCGCCTCTCAGGAAGATGCACTCCAACTTCAAAGGAAACACCTCTAACTAGTCAACTCTTATGTCATGCTTGTTAGGGGGACAGTGGGTCTGTTCCTCCCAAAATGGGACCTCAGAACCCACACAGGGATGCTGGACTTTGATCCCAAACCAATAATCTTGTAGGTAATTTCACTAACCACTATACCGACCTGCAAGCCATCATCATCATTATATAGCAGATCCTTTACAGAACATCTTTCTCATCACGGTCTGCCTGTAAGATGCTCACTACCTGCCAGCTCTCCCGCCTTATGCACCTTTTCTACCCAAGATGTCACTTATTGTATATCCTGTGCCTACCTTTATGATGGTCGGCCATTTTTCCCCAGTACCGCAACCTCTGCTACTGCTTTTTTCAGCCTGCCATGGCACTTGGTACAGCCAGACTATTTCAGTTTTGATTCTGTCAGTGGAATAAAGTAATTCTCATTTTTTTTTTTTTCAGATGAAATATATGCCATGGCTGTGGCTGAAGATAGCAGTTTTTTCACGACCGTCGGCAACAGACATGTCAAGTTTTACTACTTAGACAATCTGAGGACGTTGCCGCCGTAAGTTAAATTTTTTTAATGGTGGCTTGTTTTGGGTGTGTGTTTAAAAAAAAAGAAGTCATAAAGAAATGCCAGAGAGAGCAATGTTGGCTTTGATTTTGTTGCTGTTGGCACCTTTCAGAGTTTCCAGATGATTTTTTTTTTTTCACAGTCCATGGTGACCTTAGCACAAAGCTTGGACATTATTGCAGAGACCATGTGTTGTCCATGCAGCTTGGCCTGTCCCTCGGGCTGTTTTCTCAGCTCTAGAGCAAAGTAAACACTGATATTTTTTCAACAAAGCCTGCTGTAGAAGCTGCCGGATCAGAAATCAGAAGAGCAGTAAATACTCTGTTTGTGAGCTTGACAGAGCTTCCCTCCTAGACCAGCTGCCAACCAAAGCTAAGGGCCTTATTTTCCCTGCTATTCACACTGCTGTGTGAAAGATAGGTTTTAGGAAGGGCCGAATGTAAGACAGGCCTGTGTGCCCAATTTGTGACCCTTTAAAAATAAAGTTTATTCGTTCGTTATTGCCCTAACATGAAGTTTTCAGGTTGCATTTCCTCTTCCTTAGATAAGATTATTATCCTCCCCAGTGCCCTGTCCAAAACCATTAGCACAAGTAGGATGTCATGTTTGGTATATACTGCTTTGCATTCAGCATGAATAGAGAACAGGTACTGTTGTATGGTAGCTCACTCATATCTGACCAAGACCTGACTCAGACAAAGAAAGTACAGGAGGACTCAGGGAAAGAGGATAATTCTTGCTGAATGGTTTGTCATTCATACTTCTCCAGGTCTCAGGATCTCTAACAGTCCTCTAAGCTGATTGCTTTCCATAAGACTGTCAAGAATCTTCTCTCATTACCTTTCACTATCTCTCTTTCCAGTTTTTCCTAATTAGATAAACAAATTTGATGACTGCTTCTTCTATAAACACTTGCATTCACAAACTGGAAAGAGACAGCCATTATCACAGAACAAACGAACAGAAAAACTTTTTTCAAAGGGTTAAAAATTGGGCTACAAGTCCCGTGAAAATTCTGCCCTTTGAGTCTTACTCTTTGCATACATTTATTAATTCTTACATCATTTGTTAGGTAATGATAAACATTTTGAACAACATCTGAGTGCTAATTACAAATGCTGAAATGTGCTCAAATTAAACTTACATTGTGCTTTTTCTTCTTCTGCCTTCTATACCGCAGTGGAACAGAGGCTTTCTTCCAACCAAGTCGTTCTATCCTTTGCAATTGCATGCAGCTCACTTCTTATCCTCGCCTTCTTTTTAACTTCACGCTTGAGCTCCTCCATGGATTATACTTGCATTACTAAACATAGAAAATCTTAGTATAGTCATAAATAATTTATCTAATAGAAATAAATGGAAGCAGGTGATACATGCAGCACTGAGCCTCAAGGGCTTTGAATGCTGAAGAAGAAGAAGAAGATTGAAAAAGAAGAAGAAGAGAAGGATCTTGAGATTTTATATTGTCATGTTATATTATCCTCAACATGTCTTATTTACAAGATAAATGATACAGAAAAAAATACAGTGAAGAGTTAATAACAAAATCTTTAACTTTTTTTCCTTCTGGCAGACACGTCGGCAACAATTGCCCCATACCCCTACCGACTCGTTGCGGCATCTTGGATAACCTCAAAGAAAATTGCTTCTGTGATGTAGTGTGTGGACGTGGCCGAAGCAGCTTGTACATATTTGTTGTGGCCATGTCTGGTATATTATGCCAGGTAGGGTTTGTGATAGGAAAATAGCAAATAAGAAGTTAAGAAGAAAGAATGATGGAATATGAGGGGGGGGGGAGGGGGGGGATAAATAAAAGGATATGATACAGAATGTAGGATTTGGAAGGGAAAAATAGCGGAATGATGTAAAGAGTAAACTAGGAATTGAAAGAGAGAATAGAATGCGGAAAGGAAGGTAGACTTTGGAAAAGAGGATGGGATGGGGAAAGAAAGGTAGAATTTGGAAGGCAGTATAGGATGTAGACGGGAAGGAAGGATTAGAAAGGGAAGGGATATGACATAGAAGGTAGGATAGTTGAAGAATATTGGAGGTAAGAAAGAATTTGAAAGGGAGGATATGATGTGGAAGGGAAGGTGGGATTTGGAAGGGAGGATGGATTTGCATGTAAAAATGGAAGGACAGATGGTTGAGTATAATCTTGTATTGTGGTTATGGAATATGTGGATTTTTTAAAATTGACTTATGTGAAAGTATTAGTGACTTTTGTGGGAGTAGTGGTGAGTTATGGGGAAGAAGCAATGACTTGTATGGAAGTAGTGGTGATTTGTGCAGAAGTAGTGGTGATTTTTGTTGAAATAGTGGTATTTTGTTTGGATGTAGTTGTCGTGGAATGATAAGCCATTACGCATCGGTCCGTAAGACTGGTAACCTGACTTACCTGTAATCGGCAAAAATTCAAACTTGGACTCGCCCGGAAAGATATAGTTCTTTATATCTATATATATAGGCCTTTATTGGACAACATTATTATGTCTACATTTTCTGGTTGCTTTAACTAAACTCCACTTTTAAATGTATATATCTTTGATATATATTAGAGGAGTTATTTGAGGTTTCTTAGAAACCGATACACTCCTTGCCCATGTATACTAGGGACTTCTTTTTTTTACCAACGCCTGAAGTGCGTAAGTGACGCCATTCTTTCTTGCCGGTTCCAAGCGTCCAGACGTGTCAATCTATGCCTGTATCATTTCAATTTCTCAAGGCGATCTGGAATGTCTCAGTTTTTGCATATGCTTGGGATAAATCCTTTGTGAGGAGCTGGCAGAAGTTTCACAGTCCAACCAACACCCACCAACCATAAATAAACCATAAACCACAAACCAACCACCCACCAGCTGACACCTGTGAAGGTTCCTGACATCATCAATATGTGGGAGCTTATAACTCAAACAGCCTACCAGTGCTAGAGCTTAGTGTGGCTCAAAGACATTGTGTGTCCTACTGGGGATAGAGACTTGCTAAGTACCAGTACAGTGCTGTGTCCTCTATGGTGAGGTACTCTCTTACTACTTGATCCAGTGGAGCAGAATTCCCAGAGTCAAAGACAGTCGAATCATCCGGAGCTGAGGGAGGCATCATAGACAGAAAGAAGGGAAGCTAAGTTTGATGCCTGATTTGCTTTGTGCCTCACAGCTCCTATGTTTCCCAATGATGACATAGAGTCATCTCCAAGACTTGCTGTCTGTGTAGTATCTTTGGTATTTAGACATTATATTCTGAGATTCTTCCACTGATAGCTGGAATTCACTTCATTATTATATGTATATTACACTGATTACATGCATTCATTTTCATGCCTGACTTAGGTGTCTCTATTTCACCTTTTTAAGTGTTTAGCAGTGTGTGTGTATGTATCTTCATTAGATGTGTTAACATGGTTATGATAATGAACTATCATAACCTGGGGGCTTTCTTTAGTAAGTAGTGGGGGTGTCCAGCCAAGTGTGCCTAGAAATATTGTATTCATATACTGACATATTTTGTAGTGCCAATACTTGAGTTGCCCTACTCCAGAGATAAGTTGAGCGTATATTGGCCACGAGGAATCCCTTAGACCAATACGAGCCAAACGACTCAACATAATTATCTCTGAGTGCTGTTGGTTCTGAAGGAGAAATCCTTACATTAGGCACGCGACAGGAGTGATATGTGACAGTAGTAGTGACTTGTGTGGAAATAGTAGTGACTTGTGCGGGAGTAGTTATGATTTGTGTGGAAGTAGTGTTGATTAGTGTGGAAGAAGTGGTGATTCATGTGTAAGAGGTGGGGACTAAACGTGGAAGAAATGGTGATTTATGTGGAAGAAGTGGTGACTAATGTGAAAAAAATTATGATTTATGTGAAAGAAGTGGTGATTTGTGTGAAAGTAATGGTGATTTGTGTGGATATGGTTTTGTATTGTATGGCTATGAAATAAATTGTGTGGACGTAGAAGAGTCTAAATGTGGACTTACATCTGGTCAGTCATGTGGATTTAGTAGAGACTTGCATGGAGATGATAGAAAATTTTGTGGATTCACTAGAAAGTAATAAACTTTACATTATAATCATCACTTAGCAGGTCCTTTGCAGAATATCATTCTCATGGCGGCTCACCAGAATGCCACTGCCATCTTTCTGCCTCATGAACTTTCACATCCAGGATGTCCTTGAGATCCTGTGTCCAGTTTCAAGCTAGTCGACTAGCTTGCTGTTCATCCAGGAATTTACCTTCCATTACTGTTCTCTTGAAACTGGTAACATTTAAACCCATTCCCTGAGAAAACAGAATGTCCATCTTTTACAAGTGTTTGTTTACATGACATCTTTAGGCAGTGCCAGTATGACAGCTTTGGCACTGGTTACAACTGCTTTGTGTATAGACATGTGGGTAAGCTTATATTTAAAAAAAAAAAAAAAATTTTTTTTTCCCTACATACTATTTGAGGTTTTAAAATATGTTTTTTGGTTTGCTATTGTGGTGCCATAATAAACTTTGCTGTCAGTGTGTCTTCATTGCATGTGTGTTTTTGCATGTATATTTGAAGGTATGCATTTGCCATAAATTCTTTTGATTTTTAATTTTAATTCCTATCTTCTTTTTCTTCTTCTTTCGTTCACTTGAAATAGGTTATATATATCTGCAATGTTGTCTCTAGTCTGAAGTTCACTGAAAATATTTACTATGAACGATACATGAACATAGTGTGCGTGATTTGTAAAAAATGCAGTTACTGTTCGGAAGATAAGTGTTTGAAAGGCCCGAACATAAGGTGGGCCTGCATGCCCAATTTGTGATTCTCTGGAAATAAAATTTGATTGTTGTATGTCCCTCTCCTCCTTTGGTATATGCGTTGTAAGATATGCGTTGATGGAAAGTAAATTTGTGTGCCAGGTTTTTCTGTTTTGTCGTTCTATCTAGATCAACAGGGACCGATACCTGGAGCGCTGGGTTAATGTCAACATGATCAATGCTTGCTGCTTGGCAGCTGATGAGAATTGCATCTTTGTGGGCGGGACCCAGGGTGTGGTCAGGATGTTCCGGGCTCTCGACCTTCAGATTATCACAACTCTGCCACGACCTCACATTCTTGGCCTTGACATATCTCAGGTAGGTCAAAGTACTTTTGATTGGCATGCATCTGTTTATCTTTTAAGATAGTTTCTGACTAATTTGCTTATTGTCCATGATTCACTTCCATAAATCAGGATAGGCTCTATATAGCTCTTAAAAACTCTGAACTCAGTTGACAAAGATATATTGCATAAAAAGAGCAGCATTAAAAGATTAAAATGTGAGACATCAGGAAGGGAAACATAGTCAAGATCAACAATGTCTGCTCCAGACCAGGCCTCTAAAGAAGGAAATAAGAAGAACATTTTTTAGACCCTTCTGCTGTACATAGTGAACCATGGTGGTATAGTCAATAGACTCTTGCCTGCCGACCCAAAGGTATTCAGTTAGAATCCACATTGAGTTCGATTTTTTCTTTCAAAAATGGCAAGCGAGTCACAGGCTGACCTTCTGAAGGTGGATACAGGACACTGAAGACTCATTAGCTATGAAAGCAGAGGGCTGAAGAATTGGCTAGAAAAAGAGCCTTTTAGGCATGCAGTGAAGAGAGTGATGTCTTGTAAAGGACCTGTTGATTGATTGAATGACCTTGGTTCCCAAGCTGACTCAGCCTTAAAAAAAAAGTTTTTTGGCTTTACTGCTCTACAAATCTTCCTCAGAACTTTAACTCCGTTTGACATCACACTGATTGTTGAATGTTGAATTATGAGTTGACATCATAGCACTTGGGTCACTCCTATAAGCGCTCCCTCCCCATCTTCAGCAGCAAATGAATTCCAATTCCGATGGTACCAATAACTGTCAATAATAGTACATTCGTCTCGCCTGTCCCTTGCATATTGTTTGTCGGCCAGATCCCCTCGTAACTCCCTGCAGCACCAATTGCCTCAGAGCTTAATGATTTCATTGTGCCTCCACTTTGTTCACCTGCTCCCAAAGGATCCTTACAACATCTAGCTTGTCATACAGCAGTTCACTACCAAGTGGTGCAGAACTGGCCGGTGTATCTGCCTGCTTGTTTCCCAACACACCAGCATGACATGGAGAAAATATCCAAAAGATGCTCTGGGACCTCTGAAGCGATGCTTGCCACTCTGCACGGAACATGCATGTCTCCACCTTTCTCAGCCTACATCACACTTCTTTGACCCAGGTGACCACATCCTACATTGAGGATGTCTCAGAGGATATGTCCTCGACAGTAGAGGAGGACTCGAGAGAAAGGGAAGCTCCCAACCAGTATCCGACCACCCGAGCCATCACTTATGACTCCTGCCATGAGATCCTAACTGTTGTTTACGGGGATCGTAGCACTTACATTTGGAGCAGACATAAGCAGGATGTTGATGGCAGCGAGGTGTATTATTTCAGCAAAAAGTATGTCTCATTGCTGTGATTCATTTCACTTGCTTAGATTTTATTTGTTTTATAGAGTTTAATTTTACTTGTTATTATAGTGTTTGATTTTACTTCTTTTGTAGTGGTTGATTTTACTTATTTTCATTTTATCTGTTTAAGATTTTACTTTGAGCTTGATTTTATTTTTATTTTTTTAAATTTTATTTTCATTTTTTTGTTAGTAGTGTTTTTTTAGCATTTGATTTTACTTGTTTTGGTTTCACTTGTTTAAATGTTACTTGTTTTGATTTGATTTTACCTGTTTTTTAATAATGTTACTTTTACTTGTTTTATAGCGTTAGATTGTAGTTGTTTTGATTGTACTTGTGTTATACTTGTTTTTTAAAGCTGTTTGATTTTAATGGTTTTTTAATACCTTATTCTATGATCCACATCCTTTTGCCACATGATGAGAAGGCACAGTTAGAGCACATTCATGTCAGCAGAAAAGCTGGTGGAAACGGAGAAAGAAGAAGATTAATAGAGGAGATTTTGGACATAATGGCATCATGGCATGGAGAAATATAAGTATCATAACAGAATTGCCTGCAATTTGGTAGCAGAAAATGCTGAACATAGGCTCCAAACATTGTCAACTGTATGCTTCCAACAGAGAAGCAATCTGGCAGGCTTCAGCCTCAGAAGATGAAGCTGTATGGTGCCCTGGGAGATGTAGACTGCACGATAGATTTCATAAAGGCTACCAACCTCATGATATAAGTTTTCTGACAAAGAAAAGAATATTAATATCATAAAATTTTGGCAGTGCTCGCTCTATAAAGAATGTTGCAAATGGGAGTGATCAGAAAATCGGGTAGATCTGCGGTTCTCAAACTGAGTACTATGGCACCATGGGGTGCCCGTTATTTAAAATGTATTTACATTTGTCTAATCTAGGTTTAGATTTTACAACGGATCGACATCATGGCACAAAAGTAGTAACCCAAAAGTGCTCCGTTCTACTTCTAATTCAAGCCTAAGTCCGAAGAATCTCAGTGCAGTGCACAAACTCTGTAGCATCTGCATGGATCCTAAAATGCTTTGGGTAGATTTTTAACTCCAAATTTTGCCAGGGCAGCGCCGCTAGGCTACTTTTTAAAATTTCCAGCTGCCAAGGGATTTAATGGAAATAGGGATCCAACTAAAATCTTATTCTTAATATCCTGTCTTCTACTTCATGTGACCGGGGAAATTGACCAGCTGCATGTTGTAAAAGGGACTAATTAGGGTATTTTCTCCGATGTCAGAATGCATCTGCCTGAGTCTGCATACAAGTCAGCTTGGTATCTAAGAGGGATATGCATGCAAAAATTCAAGTTCTAAAACAAGACTAAAGTTTAGCAGTCGACGAACAATCAGAACTTCCCGTTATAGTTTACAGCCAGTGAACGTGAAAAAAAAAAATTGATTAAAGTTTTTTTAAATATTAAAAAAATTTTTTTTTTTCCAAATGACCTTATCTTCCATGTTGACTCAACCTACATTGGGTACCTGGTGAATTCACGGGAAGTAAAAGATTGCCAGTGGGATGATGATCACAACATCAATTGAGAGCCAGTTGTTTTACAAAAATAGGAGTCTAGTTTTATGTGTCCCAATACGCCACTGGCGAGATATGGGACATTTACTTTTGTACTTTATGTTAAAACTAGCTGTACCTGGCCACGCATTGCTGTGGCATAGTTTGGCTAAATGGAAAAGAAAGAAAATAGAAATCGCATGTGTCTAATATGGTTACTGTCGCAATCATTGTCTGCTCAGATATAGAGACAGTCTTCGATCCCTACCCCCACCACTACCAAATCCACCTACTACTCTCTCCCTCATCAAAGGTTTTTGGAAAAGAAAGACAATAGAAATCGCACATATCTAATATAGGTAATGCCTGCACAGATATAGAGATAGTCTGGTTTTCCGTCTTTAGAACACTCACCATATAATTGTGTCTTTATATTAGTGGTCGTTTAAATGGTGTTATTAGCACAGTAACAAAAATGGTTATTTGGTTATCACATGCTAAAGCTGTATTTTTATAGGGGACAGAAGTAAAGCTACTACTGTACTTGTAAAAAACAAAGTAAGTCGTAAAAAAATTAGAAAAGCGGAGGTAGCGTTAGTAAAATATAAACAAATTAAGTAATGAGATCTTTAAAATCATGTGTTTATCTCTTTAAGTTAACAATTTCAGTCATCACCCCCTCCCCTCCCCCCATCCACCGACTACTGCTCTCTCCCTTTCGAAGGATTTGAAAATCATCACCTGGCGATTTTGTTTTTTTTTGTAACTGACATTGACATCCCTGTCCATCCAGACTAAAATGGGGAGCAGGAATTGTAATAGGTAGTAAATGGGGCTGGTGTAATATTTACCACTCCATCCTTCAATTACCAGTACAACTACTACCACGACCACCACCACAATATCTAAAATAATGTCACTGCTATCTGTTTTACCATCGGAGTAGACAGGGAGTCGTGAGCCAGAAGATTTGGCGCTGCATGGCTAGTGCTGTCGCCACGGACTGGTCAGGTTAGGATGTATAATTTCGCTCCCCGACAGAAGAATACCATAACCTTACCGGTGGTCTCCGGCATGACAGCACTACGATGTAACCGCCCAACCACAACTACTACTGCTGCTGCTACTTTGAGTGGGTGAGGCAGTTACTGTGAGCTAAAGCTCTCTCAGTAAACATTTTGTGCCCCCCCCCTCCCCCCCCCCCAATTCACCGACTACTCTTTCCCTCATCGAAGTAGTTGGGAGGGAAAAAAAAACCAAGTGAAAAGCAATGAAAACAGGAAAAATACACCATAATTAGGAAATTAAACGCTATGGTAAACAGGACAGCTGAAAATTTCAACGCAGATGAAATAATTAAATCTAAATGAAATTAAATGGAAATCTATGAAAATTTAGTATAACCATGCAATAGGAAAGTTTGAAATGAAATCATAAGTATGCCAAATGGTCAGATTTAATTATTAACTGGTATACCCACATATCTGTACTTTTTTTTTTTTTTTTTTTTTTTAGTATTAAGGGCCACATGGCTAGTGCTGTCGCAGGTGAGGATTTTTTTTTTTCCCCGGGTAAAAAAAAACTGTACTGCGGATTCAAACCCTGGTCTCCCGCACGGAAGCCCAGTGTTCTAACCATTTGGCCAAGCAACCACTCCAACTGAGCAACGAAAAGAGAACACAAAACTAATTGAGATGTATGTCCCTACTACTGTGTCCCGATTATAACACAACTCAAAACCGCAGGCAATTGTTTTCTCATAGACAGATATTCTCGATATATTATTGAAACGGCACAACAATAGACATCGCACGTATCTAACACGGTTAATGTCTCAATCATTGCCTGCGCAGATGCTGAGATAGTCCTTGATGCCCCCCCCCCCCCCTCGCTTTTCAAATCCATTGGCTACTCTCCAACTCATAGAAGGTTGTTTGAAAAGACAGAAAATAGAAATTGTGTCTAATATGGTTATTGTCGCAATCATTGCCTGCACAGATATAGAGCTAGTCTTGTTTGCTGTACCACGGCCTACTCTATTTATTAGAGAAGGCGTTGGCTGTACGTATCTCGCCGGCGAATTGTGGGTCTTGCGTTCCGACTACTGCGCATTTACGAACGTGGCTTTTATTAAATGTCACTAAAATGGAAATATTAGTTTCGAAGATT